GTCTGGTTATAGGTCTAGAGGCAGCTATTGGTGGCCCTGAGGGGCATCAGTATTGTGTTGCCTGACATTTCCTTCACAGCTGGTTTAGAAGACAATGAAGAATGAACTTCCTCAGTCACAGGTGACAATGATAACATTTCAAGGGGGGGAAGAGGGTGGAGTGATTACCCCTACCCCCCCAGGTGAGATTAACCCTTAAGAACCTGAGAGTTCACAGTTCTCAGCCCTAATAGAGTCCTCCCACACATCCGCATCTCAAGTCCCAGGATCCCATACTTTACCAATTGATGCCCTTGCCTAACTGCAGACACTGTCTGAGGCTGGGGCTTGAGTATTTGCTGTAGTTCAGCCAACCTTATCATGTGGGCTGCTCTTTGATTTTCTGTAGCTTGAGGTCTATGGCTGCTGGAAAGATTCTCTTCCGGGGCACACTTAGAAACTTTTATCATGTTTCCTTTTATACTGGAGCCTGTCAATCTTATCACTAAATTCATTGTTGTCCTCAGCACGTGCTGAGAAGCTAGAACTTGGTTAACACAAAGCTCGTTCCTATCCTTTGTTAGATGCTGAGAGCAACTGACCAGCGCAATCACTTTCCTTATTTTGCAACTGTCCAAAGTTTCCTATATAGAACTACCAGACGCATTCCTGCTCATAATTGGTGAATCAGGATAATGGATGGAATTCTTCTCCTTAATTTGTAAAGTGTCCTCACCATGGGCTCTCAGTTCTCTCTGAGCTCCCAGGAGAGGCTTCATTAGCTGTAGCTGTTGGCAAATGGGAAAGCCTATGCCAGATACTTGAAAAAGTCACCCTTATCCTTCTGCTGCTCTGGATCCACTTCTGGTGCCAAAATCTGCAGTAGTCAGGGTTCTTCACAGTTACAGAACTTATAGAAGGAATATCTCTACATATATACACACACAAGCAAACACACACACACAGAAACCCACATAATAAATCCCCATTTATTATACACATATATACAAACATATATGTGTATACATGTATATATGTATATGTATGTATGTATGTATATATATATATATGCGTATAAAACCCTAGAAAGGCAGGAATTTTAAGGAAGGGGAGAATCACAAGTTACAGCTGCAGAGACAGAAAGTTCCACTACAAGACAAGCTCCAGAAGGAAGAAGACAGGGATGGGGTGGCACAGTTTCACAGAGAGGAAACTATTCCCTCCTCCTAAATCCAGGGTTTGTATAGATTCTTCTCTTGTTGTCTTACATTTGGTCTAATTGGTCATGTCACCTGATCTCTGCTCTAAGCCTAGCTCCTGACCTGCATCTGTCCCTGCACACAGACAAGACAGTGACATCTGCAGGAAGATCAAAGGAGTGACATGTATTCATTACAACTCTGCCAAAAGTAAGTGACAGAACGGGTAGAAAAGGAGTGATCGTTGGGCATCTTTCAAACTAGCTGAGGCTTGCTTCTCACAAGGCAAATGACAACAATGAAGGAAATGCCCAAGTGACTTCATGAGCGAGCAAGTGGACCACATTGCTGACCTTGCAGTTTGTTTCGTCCAGATATTAATATGTATATGTAACAATATATACATATGCATGTCAGCACAAAGCACTTGCAAAGAATGCTTTTTCCCACAGCCAGATCACCCACAGTATGGCCTAGAGAAGCTTCTACAGTGTGACCTTCAGCTGGGCCAAGATCCAGCCACTGGAAAGTCAACCAACAGCAGCTGAAGGCATGCTCACAGAGTCTGTTGGCACCCCAGTCAATAGAAGGTGAAAAGTTAGGAGCATGTGTACTCTGATCATTCGCTTCAGACATGCAATCTCTGCAAAGCTAAATTATTTTGGTGTGTATATTTGGTGGGAGAAATAAAGAAGGCAGAAGGGGGAGGGGGAAGACAGGACGAAGTGGCTGCTATCATTTTAACATTTGAAAAATATTAAACCAACATATAACAACTAACCAACACACACAAGGTTCAGGAGCCTGAATGCCACTGAATTCCTGTTCTTTGCTCTTAGGTGCTGAATGCCTGCATTTGCTGGGCTCCAATTTGTTTCCACTTCCCAACAGCAGCCTGATTTCTACCTGGTATGCACTTCTTTAGATACCATGCCCCTGCCTTCTTGGGAAAACTCCAGAGCCTCCTCCAGCTAGAAGATCTAAAAGCTCTCTGCAGACTTTTGCTGTAAGCCTTCCTGTGGGTCCTGCCACAGGCAAGGTCCAAGCACATGACATAACTTTATGAACCAGCCCTGCATCCCTGAGACTTAGGCTTCTGAACCTAATAAAACACTGATGGAGGAGGCAAAGTTAACATAGTCCGGCCAAGCATGTGGAAATAGAAAGGCCTGCTTCTTTGTAGGCTACCTGCCTTCTTCCAGGCACGCTCTTCCAGCTTCTTTAACACCTCACTAAATAAAATGTCTTTTTGCTTTAGTGGCCAGAATCTGTGTGTTTCCTTGCAACCAAAGTATATTAGCAGACAGCCAGTAACCTACAGGGAAAAACTTAGGGTATATACAATTGGCCATTTGCCATAAATAGAGTAAAATACAGCAGCATTCTGTGATGTGGGAGTGATTTCTTATTAATAAAGAAACTGCCTAGGCCCCTTGATAGGCCAACCCTTAGGTAGGCGGAGAAAACAGAACAGGATGCTGGGAGAAAGAAGCTGAGTCAGGAGTTGCCATGATTCTCCCACTCCAGACAGACGCAGGTTAAGATCTTCTCTGGTAAGCCACCTCGTGGGCTACACAGATTATTAGAAATGGGTTAGATTAATATGTAAGAGCTAGCCAGTAAGAGGCTACAGATAACAGGCCAGGCAGTGTTTAAATGAATACAGTTTCTGTGTAATTATTTTGGGTATAAAGCTAGCCGTGCGGGCGGCCAGGTGCCAGGAGGCAGCCCCGCCGCTCTTATCACTACAATTCTGTCTACATCGCAAAAGGGGAACCTCGTTACCTGTAGCGTATAGTGTAGAAACAAGGCTCCAGCTAACACTCAACATGATCTCTTTACTCTCAGCGACCAGATCTTAATTCCTCCTTTACTGGGAGCTGACTGACCTGCTTTAGAATAGTATTCTTTGTCATTTTCCCATGGGGCTCTCATTTTAAATCAATGTCACCATAACGGTTGTTTTGAAAAGACTTCTAGACTGGAGAGATGGCTCAGCAGTCAACAACCCTGGCTGCTCTTCCAGAGGAAACAAAGTTTGATCCTCAGAACCCACTTGATGGCTCACAACCAACTGGAACTGCAGACCCAGGCATCGAACACCCTCTTCTGACCTCCAAAAGCACTGCATGCATGTGTGGTGTAGCAGACGTATACGTAAGCAAAACACCCATACACATAAACAGAAATAAAATAAGAATAAGCTTGGGTGAGTTTACCGGACCCCTAGTCTGAATTTCCAACTTGTCTGGTAGTATATGAGACACAAGTACAGTGAACGTAGTTCTTTGGCACAGAGGACCAGAAACATAACCAAGAATGACTCATTTCTGCATGGCCTTCCTTCCGAGAACCAATGGGAACACCACATACTTCCAAGAACAACATAAAGGCCACACAAAGTGTCATGTGTCTACAATCACAGCACTCCAGGAGTGGATGGAGGATAAGGATTTCAAGGCCAGCCTCAGCTACATAGCAAGATCAGGCCAGCCTGAGCTACAGGAAACCCTGTTTCAAAAATTCCAAAACAAGGGTGTAGAGAGACGGATCAGCAATTAAGAACCCTTGCTTCTCTTACACAGATGGTTTCATAACTGCCTGTAAGACTTCTTCTGATCTCTGTTGACACACACACACACACACACACATATACACACATGAATACACCCATACATAACATGAATAAAACCAAATTTTTAAAGCATTCTAAAACAAAACATGGCAATAAAAAGATAATAATACAAAGAGACAGAGCTGGTGAGTTGAGCTTGGAAATACTAGGATAAAATTTGAATCCTTCTCTTTGTTTGCAGACAGATTTCCTGCATGGGACAATGAATCAGTTCTAGACATGGAACTGGTGATGGCTGCACAGCATTGAGATTCTGTTTAATGCCTCTCAGAGCTATGAGCTGAAATGTGTTTAAACTGATACATGTTGTATTTCACCTACTTTATCACAATGATTTTTTTAAGCTTTCTGATGAAATCTAGTAGCAATCAGAGTTTGAGAACACAGTCATAAGGGGCAAAGACATACAGAAGACACTTCTTTCTGAAAATAGTTGGGTGGCATTTATCTGAAGATGTGCAACATTGTACTCTTTGATTTATTCCTCTTCTAGGAAATTTTCTAATAAAAATATTTGTGAAAATGATCATAATTCCAGCACGACTTCGACACTCTGAGGCTGTTCATGGTTTTGAAGACAGATGTCGCTCTCAAATCAAGGCTGCCCTACAACCTGAAATCATTCAGCTCAGGCCTCATAAGTGTGAGATTCCAGGTGTGTGTCATCACACCTGAATCCTAGTATGATTTTTTAAAGTCAAAGATTTAAAGTTTGAACTTGAGCCTAGTGGATTTGTGAAGTAATTTATTATATATTCACATAACCAAGTGCTAGGAGGGTATTTAAAATTACAGTGTGGAAGAATATTTAATGATATAGAAGTGTTTCAGTATAATGCTAGTGAAAAAGACATGGAGTTTAGCATGACTGAGTTCTGGGTGTGTGGTCTGGTGTGTGCTCTTACCTTGTCTAGCCATCTTTTCCTCTGATTGGTGTAGTTGGGGCTGTCTGTGTCTCTGGTGATCAATCTTCCAGGTGCCCGTGAATCCAAGGCTCCGATGGTTGCTCCTCATGGTACAGTCAGGGTCATGGTTCTAGTCAAACCGTTGGTCACTCTGTTCCTGGAGGTCACTCAGTGGTGGCTCTGCAATACCAGGGGTTAGATTGTTTTCTTGGGGCTGTTTCTGCTGAGGTGGCTGCCTTGGGCCTACTCTGGAAGAGGCGGCTGGTTCCGGCCTGCTCCAATAGATACTGCTAGCTCAGGCCTGCTACCTCAGATGTGGCTGATTCATGCCCAGTCTGACATAGGACTCTGGTGTGGGGCTGCTCCCTCAACAGTGGCTCCCTGTACCTGCTCCTGTGGAGGTTGTTGCCTCAGGCCTGCTCTGGCAGGGGTCACTGACTCAAGCCTGCTCCTGTGGAGGTTGCTGCTTGGGGCCTGCTCAGGCCTGTTTCCATAGATGTCCCTGGCCTGGGCCCCCTCCTGCAGAGGTCCCTGGTTTGAACCCCGTCCTGCAGATGTCTCTGGCTCAGGCCTACTCCCTCAGTAGTTGCTCCCTTGTCAGGTTAATTTAAATTATAAGAACTATTTAGAAACAAGGCTAAGCTAGGGCTGATATAATATAGTATTATTATATTGATAATAAGTCTCTGTGTCATTATTTGGGAGCTTGCAGCCCAGATGAGAAAGTACTCCTACCCTATGGTTTCTCCCATAGCCAGGATCCACGAATCCAGGAACCCAGGGGTGGGAATGGGAACTGTTTCACTCATTATCACTCCTAACCACCCACTAGGAAATTATTTGCTTCCTGTTCCTGAGGTCTTAAGTTCTACTAGCTTAGAAGTTTTGGGAGCTCAGACTTCCCCTCATTATTTTGGGTTTCTGGTGCCTTAGACATTCTTAGCCAACATGCTAAGAAAGGGGAGACAGCATTGGGAGGGATGACAGATTACCAAGGAGAAACTGGGTTGCTTCTTCACAATGGAGAAAAGGAAGATTATGTCTGGAGTGCAGGAGATCCCTAGGGCATCTCTTGGTGCTACCATGTCCTGTGATTAAAGTCAACGGGAAACAACCACAACCTAATCCAGGCAGGATGAGAAAGGGCACAGACCCTTCAGGAATGAAGGTATGGGTCACTCCTCCAGGAGAAGAAGCAAGACCTACCTAAATTCTTATTTATGGTGGAGGAAATACAGAATGGGTAGGAGAGTAAGCTACTTATATCAGCCAAGGCCATGTGACCAGTTACAGGAATGAGGATTATTATTAACATGAGTATTTCTGTCATATTTTGTTAAGAATGTTTTTGTGCCAGGTGTTGGTGGTGCATGCCTTTAATCCCAGCCCTGGGGAGGCAGAGGGAGCTATTCTAGGACAGCCAGGGCTACACAGGGAAACCCTGTCTGAAACAAACAAACAAACAAACAAAACATAAGAATGTGTTTGTGCAGATATTTGTTTTGTTTCTTTTATTTCTTTATCTTGTAAAGTAGAATCAATTGAGATAATACTGGTAGTTATCATATTTAAGCTGAGATACTAATAGAATGTCCCTCAAGATACATTGCCACCTATTGTAAGATATATCTTGCATTTGCAGTTGTATGTTAGATAGTTACATCATGTTGCCATAACTAGGACCTGGATATTGTTTACATTTGGAAATTGAACTTAACATTGGGTTTGTGATGGCTCATCTTGTTTGTCAACTTACTCCATCTGGAATCAGCTATCGCCCCAGCATCTGGGCACACCTGTGAGAGATCACTCTTGATTGGATCGTGTGAGGTGGGAAGACTCACCCTAAATCTGTAGGATTTGAGACTGACAGACCTACTCTAAATCTGGGCCACTCCTTCTGGTGGCAGCCTATATAAAGAAGATGGAAGAAGGAAGCTGATCTTTGCCTGCGTGCCTTCACTCCTTCT